TTCCCATTCTGTGGGCTGTCTCTCTACTCTCTTGACAGTTTATTTTGGTTTGGCCATCATTAATAAAACAAAAAACAACAGAGGCTGGTGAGGAAGCAGAGAAAAGGGAACACTTCTACACTGTCAGTGGGAATGCTAACTTATTCAACCTCTAAGGAAAACAGTATGGCGATAACTAGAAATTGATCTTCCTTACAACTCAGCAATCCTCTTTCTGGGAATATACCTGGAGGAACTCAAATCATTCTACAAGAAAGATACCTACGCATGCATGTTTATTGCAGCACTATTCACAATAGCAAAATCATGGAATCAACTGTGTTGCCCATCAAAATTGTACTGGATTTTTAAAAATGTGGTATATATACATAATGGAATATTACACAGCTATAAAGAAGAACAAAATTATGAACTTTGCAGCAACTTTGATGGATCTGTATTCTATTATACTCAGTGATCTATCACAGAAACAAAGAACTGAGTGCCACATGTTCTCACTCATAAATGGCTCATGAACACGTATCATAATACCACAAAAAAAAGATATTGGCAGTAGTGGGACATTGAGGGGGAGGGGTATATAGCATCAATAAGGGTGCTTATTTTGGGGAGGCCCAAAACTTCACCTGTACCTAAGCCACTTATGTACACAATCCTGACTTGTACTCCACAACTTTAAAATTAAATTAACTATGAATTTTTTAAATCCAATTTAAGGATGTCCCTGTCCCATTTGAGAAAATTTTCATTTATAAGTGGATCTACAAACTTTCTAGAATGGAAAAAACAATATTTATAGAAACTGTCTGATTACATTAATATGATTAACTTTACCTAAAACATATTAACTACATCATCTGCACTCCATGAAAGAGCACCATTCTAAATTAAACATTTTCAAAAAATGGTTCTTACACGAACAAACATTGATTCTCCTTTTGTTTCACATGGGGAGGGGAATCTCTACAGGAATTTCTGAGCAAAAAATTCTAGTTTAAATAGAAGGATCAGGCTGAGGTGAGTGGACTGCCTGAGCCCATGGGTTCGAGACCCGCCTGGGCAACTTGGCGAGACTTCATCTCTACAATAAATCAAAAAATTAGCCGGGCATGGTAGTGTGCACCTGTAGTTCCAGCTACTTGGAAGGCTGAGGCGGAAGGATCGCCGGAGCCCAGCAGGTCAAGGCTGTGGTGGCCTCAAAAAAAAAAAATTAAATAAATAAATAAATAAATAAATAAACTATCAACATATACCTCAGTCAAAGAGCCCACAGAAAAATGAATTTTAAAAGACAATTAATTGAAAAAAATTGGGGAGAAATGCACTAAAGTCACTCAGGGCAATATTTTATCCATATGACTTATTCCAAAAAAAATAATAGAAGGCCAGGGGCAGTGGCTCAAGCCTGTAATCCCAGCACTTCGGGAAGCCGAGGCAAGAGGATTTCCTGAGTCCACAGGTTCGAGACCAACCTGTGCAACACGGCGAGACTTTGTCTCTACAATAAAATAATAAAATAAGCCAGGTGGGGTAGCCCACACCTGCAGTTCCAGCTACTTGGAAGGTTGAAGTAGAAGGATCGCCTGAACACAGGAGGTCAGCGCTAGTGTAGCTGTTAGCATGCCCCAGCACCCTGGCCTGGGGGACAGAGTGAGATTCCAATTCAAAAATAATAATAATAATAATATATGTTTTTGTTCTTTAAATTTATATCCACACTCTCAAAAAACACAGGTTATCTTTCAACTATAAAATGCACTTTATTATTTCAAAATGCATTTTTAATCCTTTTCTAGCATAAATACGCAAACCCTTTAAAAGTTGGATTCAGCCGGGCTCGGTGGCTCAGCCTGTAATCCCACGCCTTTGGGAGGCGGAGGTGAGTGGACTGCCTGAGCCCACGGGTTTGAGACCCACCTGGGCAGCGAGACCCCATCTCTACAATAAATCAAAAAAATCAGCCGGGCGTGTA